ACTATGAAATCAAACAGTCAATAGTAGGCTCCCTCACTTAGCTCAAAGCCATAGATCATTTCATTTAATAACTCACAACACCCATACCGTCTTACTGCCATGATACTGCAGCGAGATTCAACAAAATTCTTCACAGGCTCATGCAACACCAACCATAAAAATACCTCAATCATCCGCTAAACTCGCATTTATTCTCTTGACAGTCAAGTCAATTTTCTCACCCAAATTCAAATTCAGATCTCAACACATACACTCTGCTGGTAGAAAATAACTCTACGCTCAATATTATAATGACCGTACATCCGTAGTTTACCTCGCAGGTGATAACCCACCTGCTTAGCTTCAACCTGACATCTCTCCATAACCTTTCACAGCCACAACTACTACGCCATCACTTAATCTTCCTGGGTCTGAACTCACCACAAGACATGAAAAATCTACTTCATTCCACATTTAAACAACATGAAAAATCTTTCAACACACTTAAAACTCGAGACTATACGTCACATCAATATAGAAATCAAGCACCCAATAGTCCTTTTCACATCCCAAACAAACTCTTCCCGTCATATTTGAACCATCTGGACACATCCCACAGTCACATCATACTCTTCATATAGCCATTCAAGAGCTCATCGATCCATAAATTCCACTCATAGGGACATTACCGGATATATGAGTCCAAATGTACAAGTTCACATAACTGAAACTACCGAGCCTAAGCTGCGGTCTAAATCTGGCCTCAAGTCCTCCATACTGGCCCATCACCAAAACACAAAATACACATCTTGAACCTCGTTTATAGAATCACAAGTCGGCGATGAACAACTGATACTGAGCACTCACATGCGCACACGAATGCGTGGAAGGAATTCAAAATGATTACGCTTCAAGCTGAATCAATACCGCACGATAAGGAAATAAAAATGTGATGTTTATCCTAAATGTCATGTAGTCTCTCGAAGATAAGTATGGACGTCATCATACCGATCTGCAAGACTCTACTAGATATTTGCTCATGACATGTAGAACATATGAACCTAGAGCTCTGATACCACCTTATCACGACCCAAAATCTGACTAGTCGTGATGGCACCTAACCCAACCCGCTAGGTAAGCCAATTATCAACTATACAATTCCAATGTATTTAATAAGGCAAATAATTAAAAGAAAATATATGAAACCAATACATTTTTCCAAGAACTGGTAGTATAAATCATGAGCTTCTAAGAATAGAGTTTACAAAGCTGGTATGAAATAAATACATCATCTGTTTGAAAAGTACATAAACAAAGCTTTATGAATCTAAGGCTACCATGAACAAGAGGGAGCTATAACCGGAACGCAGGTACACCTTCAGATCTAGCTCCCGACGAACGCAACAGCATCAGCAACCAACATCTGCACGCAAGGTGCATAAGTGTAGTATGAGTACAACCGACCCCATGTACTCAATAAGTAACAAATCTAACCTTAGGTTGAAAGTAGTGACGAACTTGTACCAAGGGCAGAGTCTAACTCCAATAACCAACAACAGTTCATAACCACATAAAGTAAGTAATGAAAGAAGTAACCCAAGGAATAAATGCTCAACTAAATCATGATTTTCAAAAATAGTTCTGCCTTTTAAGTCCCAAGTCGTTTACCGAAGTTGCCAAAAATACGAATAAGTTTGAAAACGGTAATTTTTCCAAAAATTCTTTCAACAATGATAAGATATTTTATTTTCTTTCCAGATAACCAGTGGAAAATGCATCACTATGCCTCGTAGGCCAATATGTGAGAGATGTCATGAATGACGTGATACCGTACAACGTGAGAAAAATACATCTCTATATCTGTATGTTATGGGCGCATGTCAATGCAATGTATCTAAGTGATAAAATCATATGCATACTTCCTAAAGTATCAATTCATCCAGTCCTCACAGTCACTCAATCCTCCCAATCGTTCGGCACTCGCACTTGACACTCAAAACTCACACTCAATAGGTACATGCGCTCACTAGGGGTGTGTACAGACTCTGGAGGGGCTCCTTCAGCCCAAATGCTATAATCTGCACGGACAACTCACGTGCTGCACGGACAACTCGCGTGCTGCACGGACAACTCACTTGCTATAGTATCAATATCTGGATCTGCACGGACAACTCACGTACTATAATAAGCCAATCTGGCCTGCTGCGGCGGGTAACCCGATCTCATAATAATAAAGTATATAAAGCCAATATGGTCTGCTGCGGTGTGCAGCCCAATCCCATAATTATCCTCACAATCAGGCCCTCGGCCTCACTCAATCATCAATCTCTCTCGTCTCTCGGGCTCACAATGTCATGAAAATAGCCCGAAAATGATGATATGATATATCAATAAATAACAACAGAGACTGAGATATGATATGCAATGAAATGAATATGACTGATTATAGATTTTCAATTTAAAACAAATAATTCATAGCAGTATGACCTATGTGGGTCCCAATAATACTGACACATAGCCTCAACATGATTTTTAATATGATTCTCAGCTATATTTCTTCAACACATAAAACTGCATGGAAAATGCCTAGATTATTTGACTACAAAATTTCACGGAACAATTACGTCACGATTTCTATGGTGCACGCCCACACGCCCGTCACCTAGCATGTGCTTCACCTCCAAACAATTCACATAATATGTATATTCAGGGTTCATACCCTCAGCTCCAAGATTAGAAGAGTTACTTACCTCAAACAAGCCAAATCCAATGTCGAGCAAGCTAAACAATGCTCCAGAAATTCCATTATGCGCGTATCAACTTCCAAATGGCTCGAATCTAGTCATAATTAATTTGATTCAATCAATACAAATTATTATAATTAATTTCATAAGAAAATACTAATTTTTCAATAAAATCCAAAATTAACTCAATATTGAGTTAAAAACACTTACCCCATTTTTTCCCTTGAAAATCTCCCAAAAATCGCCTCTTCTCGAGCTCCAAATCGGTAAAAATGGAAAATGGAACAAAGTCCCATTTTCAGAACTTAAATTCTCTGCCCAGTCATTTCTTCTATGTGATCGCGGACCAACTCACGCGATCGCGAAGCATAATTTTTCATTGCCCAAAAATAACTCTACGCGATCGCGAACCTTCTCACGAAATCGCGAAGCATTAAGCGCGTGGCCCAGCTCCTCCCTCCGTTCCTCTTCGCGAACGCGACCTAGCCCACGCATTCGCTATGCACAACCTACACGATCGCGGATGCCTTCATGCGATCGCATAGCATAAAATCTCACTGCTCCAACTTAGCCTACGCGATCGCGGACATTCTCATGCTATCGCGTGGAAGGAAACCAGTGACATAAAACCGACATTCTTGAGCTGGAATGCAAAGTCCAAAATTGATCTGTTAGCCGTCTGAAACTCACCCGAGGCCCTCGAGACCTCAACCAAATACACCAATAAGTTCTAAAACATGATATGAACTTAGTAGAAACCTCAAATCACATCCAACAATGCTAAAACCACGAATAATACCCCAATTCAAGCTTAATGAATTTTGAAACTTTCAATTTATACAAATGGCGCCGGAACCTATCAAATCATGTCCGATTGACCATAAATTTTGCACACAAGTCATAAATGGCATAACAGAGGTATTTCAATTTTCAGAATTGGGTTCCGACCACGATATCAAAAAGTCAACTCCCCGGTCAAACTTTTCAAAAATTCAACTTTCGTCATTTCAAGCCTAATTCCACTACGGACCTCCAAATAATTTTTCGGACATGCTCCTAAACCCCAAATCCTTCTGGACCCGAACCAACTAACCCGGTAAGTCATAAAATAACTATAAAGCACAAATTGAGCAATAAATGAGAAAATATGGTTGTAATACTCAAAACGACCGGCCGAGTCGTTACACATTCCGTGAATTGCTTTGTCCCTCATATATAGAATCCTCAATACCCATTTCTATATACGAATCCAAATATTCAAAGTACACGTCAACTACCCGACCACTAGGAATATTTTTTGCAACAATGACGACTTCCTTATCAGTTGAAACTAGCCTCATTTTGTCACCTAGCCTCCTGGGCTTGTGCTAAAAAGTTACCGAGTCATTCCCATAATCGCGTAATTCAACCATAGATTTGGGACCATTGAATGTTGGAATAAAGAATGGAGTTCACATGAGTACACACATAATATTTATTTTATATTGTTCACCTTTTGTATGACATATAAAATTCGAGATAAGGACCACAATATTATAGAACTTCAAAAGACAATAAAGTATTATAAAAATAGTGGAGATTTCGAAAATAAATTAAGAAGGAATATTTACAAAATACAAGTAGCAAGAACACTCACCATAACTAGGGTGTATTTCACCATTGCTCATAATAATTATTGATGGGATCGCAAGTAATACAGACTAGAACTATAATCAAGAATGCTAGATTTTTTTTACCTACCGTAAAAGAGATAAAATGAGTGAATTGGAGAAGGGAGGCTCTTGGAAAATGAGGGAAACCGACTGAATTAGGGATGAAAGAGCGGGTATTTCTTTCCCTTAAGCATCACGTGCAATCATGTGTTATGTTTCTGTTAGGTTTTTAAGGAGAGTGAGTATTCTAGACTAAAAATACCTCAAGTTTTGTAAACTTAAAGAACAAAAAGTAATAAAGGTTTATATTTAGAGGATAAAGTTAAGCCCACGTAGGGGATAAATTTGGCTAAAAATTCAACTTTCTTCTCACACTGTGTAATATTATATCCATTCAATTTTATGTGAACCTATTTACTTTTTGGTTCGTTCCAAAAAGAATGACCCCTTTTTAAATTTAAAAATAATTTTATTTAAACTTGTAATTATATCTTTAATAAAAAACTTTTATAACCACACAAATATTGTGATCCTTTTTGAATTGCTTAGATCTCAAATTACTAAAATTAGAATGTAACAACAATTATTATTTGTCCCATTACTACATTATACCAAACAAATAGCCCATCATCTCTCTCTCTCTCTCTAACTATCTCTTACCCTATAAGTGTGAAATCCTCCGAGCTAGGGCTTCAATTCCATTCCTCCACCGACCCCTCATTCAAACTCCATACTCTCCGCTCTCACCAATTCAATCGATATTGATTTGAGTATGGGCGGAGGCGATACTACTACTACAACGGTCAAAGACGAAGTAGCCGAGAATAACGCCGGCGGTGGTGGTGAAACAGTTACGATCAACGTTCGATGTTCCAACGGCTCCAAATTCTCCGTTCAAGTGAGCCTCGATTCCACCGTCGGATCATTCAAGTCCGTCCTTTCTCAGCCGTCCGATATCCCTGCCGAACAGCAGAGGTTGATCTATAAAGGCCGGATCTTAAAGGACGACCAAACCCTAACAAGCTACGGTATTAATTATATCTAATTGTTTTTGTTCCTTTTTTGCGCAATATAGGTAGGCAATTTTTTGTCGTATTTTTATTGTTAATTAATGCTGAATTATTTGTATTAGGTAAGTATTCTTTTTATTTGTTATGTTACTGATCAATCAATCAATTGTACTTCAATTATAAGCTAGTTAGGGTTTGTGATGCAAATGTTATAAATTTCCTGCTTTATTTATCTTATTTGTTGATGTAAAAAGGTTCTTGTATCTTTAAATGTTTTAATGTTTGTTTGCATAAATGTCTAAAAGTCTAGATTTCTTGGAGTTTAGCTACTGAATGTAGGCTAATATGAAGATCAGGGACTTCAATTGGTTTTGCTCATGAATTTTTCTGTTCAACTCATAAAGAGTGTATTAGTTCTTGGGATTTGCTAATACATGGTCCCAGTGATGACTGGGGCAGTTAAAAAGCGGCAATTTTGAGGAATAATGTTAAGAATTTGTTCCGTGTTGAAATAAATGCATAGAGGAAGCTGTTTTAAGGAATAAAAAAGGAATGCATGTAGAAGCTGTTTCCCGAACTGGAGGGGAGCCTTAATTTTGGAAAATAATTCATTGGGAATATTAGAGGATGTTGTGAATTTTTGGAACGGAGAAGTATCTTCTTTGACTGCAGTGAAGGAGATTTCCTAGTGATTGAGTAACTTTGACATCTTAGATACGAATCTTCGGTGCAACACTTTGATCTGAGCCCATTTTGCTCCATCTTTGGTAGGTAGGATAACCTTTACAAGGTATTCTCAATACTTTCTCGATTTAGAAGTGCAAATACAGGCCTCTATGTCTGTATTCTTTCCCGAATAGATGGAAATAATTGATAAATAAGGTGTTAATATATTAGGAAGCACCATATTTCAATTCTAATAGACAAAAGATCTTGCTCGTTTAATTACCAAATACTCCATACTATATCATGGTTTGTCTTGGGACAAGAAATAGGTAAAGGTCAATAAGTGGAGAAAAGTGTGGAGGAAAGATGCAGTGGTACTGGGGTCTTTGGCTCTTTTGTTAGAGGATAAAATATGCATCTGGAACTGCATATAGTGGAGACTGTGAATTTTGTTGTTGGAGCTCTGTTTCCACTTTAGTAAGTAAATTAAATTTGGCATGGATCTCCCCCCCTCGCCCCGCACACACACACGCACACACCAAAAAAAATGTAATTAGCTTCTGATTCGTTTCTGCACATGATGCCTACTTTGATGCCAATCAAGTTGATCCATTTCATGATTGGTTAGTTATCACTGCGTTACATTCAATATTGAGTTTTAAAATAAAATGCTATCAGGATGCGGGGCCAAACTTCTCTTTTATCTGCTTGCTTATTGCATGTTATCAGGCTGTCAGACTGATAATCTTAGCAATCTTATTTTATTTTTGTGGCAAACAGGTCTGGAGGCAGATCACACAGTTCATCTGGTTCGAGGTTTTGCCCCAGCTGCTTCCGCTAGTGCAACCAATGCTGGAAATCCAAATACTAATCAGAATATACCAGGGGATGCCCCGCCAAATGTAGGGGGGCCATTTGCAGGAGTAGGTGGAGCTCCACTCTTTCCCGGACTTGGAAGTGGTGGTGGTCCGTTTGGAGCTGGTCTTCCAGATTTTGAGCAGGTCCAGCAGCAGCTGACTCAAAACCCCGACATGATGAGAGATATGATGAATATGCCTCTTGTTCAGAATCTAATGAATAACCCAGAAATCATCCGCAACTTGATTATGAACAATCCTCAAATGCGAGAGATCATGGATCGTAATCCCGAGCTCGCTCACATACTCAATGACCCTTCTACTCTTCGCCAGACAATGGAGGCTGCACGAAACCCTGAAATTATGCGTGAGATGATGCGCAATACTGACAGGGCAATGAGCAACATTGAATCCTCTCCTGAGGGATTTAACATGCTAAGGCGCATGTATGAAAATGTTCAAGAGCCATTTCTGAATGCAACAACCATGGCTGGAGATACAAGAAATGATTCAGGGGCAAACCCGTTCGCAGCTCTTTTGGGAGCCCAAGGTGGGGGGCAAGGCAGAAATCAGGCAACTAGTCCTCCAGTTACTGGTTCTGAGACAACTGCTAATCCTCCCGCTCCCAATACTAATCCACTTCCGAATCCTTGGGCATCAGCTGGCAGTAAGCTTCAACCAATTTCGTGTTCTATAACTGTTTTAGCTGCTAGTTTAAACCTTTTTATCTCCTATTCTGTTGACTCAGGGTTCTTTGCATATTAAAAAAGCAACTTTTATCTCTCTTTTGTTGTTCTTCTGGAGATACTTTCATGCATCTTCACAACTGAGGGCGCCATGAAGTCATACTTGTGCAATTTGTGCTTAGAGCTTGTACATTTCAACACTTTTTTTCTACAGCCATTCTTTTCTTCTTTGTTCTTTTCTAGTAAATATTTCAAAGTTAGCATAATCTTCTCAGAATTTAGTAAAAACAGTTTTATATTTAATATGGAGAATCTAATTATGTAGTATTATTAGGGGCCTTTGGCTAATCAGAAGCCGAGGTCTTTTTTATGCAGTGGACTTCCTCTCAATGTGTTGATTGAGCATTTGTAATCTTGCTTTATTTTTATTGTTATTTTCTTCTTCAACTATTTCTGATAAGCAGGATATCTTCTTCAACTATTTTTGCAGCTGGAGCCGCCCAAACGAATACCACTGCTAGGTCAAATGCTGCTGCGGATACTAGGGCGCCCCCTCTTGGTGGCTTGGGCGCTTTGCCAGATTTGCAGCAAATGCTAGGTGGCATGCCTGATGCCTCTTCTCTAAATCAGTTAATGCAGAATCCAGCCATCTCACAGATGATGCAGTCTCTCCTCTCAAATCCTCAGTACATGAACCAGGTATTTATTTACTCGTTTGAACTAAAGTTGCTGTCAGTGAGTTTAAGGCCTTATTTCTTCTTTCTTGGTTCTTTGTTTTCGTTTGTGGTGGAAAATTTCTTGTCAAGCTTCTCATTTCTTGAGCATCTTGGTGGCTAGATTTCTGGGCTCAACCCACAGCTAAGAAGCATGCTTGATTCCAACCCCCATCTCAGAGAAATGATGCAAAACCCTGAATTTATTCGTCAGTTGACGTCCCCTGAGACAATGCAGGTAATTGATGTCTTTATGTCGTGCTTGTTTGTCCTCTGGAGTGTGTACATGGTGCTGCATGAGTTGTAGCAAATATAGAAAATTGCATCACATTCTTTTTTTGATATGTAAAGATAAAAGTTATACCGTAACTCAAAAAGGTTAAAAGTACAATCCGGTGTAGACCCGGTTTGATTCACCGCTGGTGCATATCTATTTCCTTATTTTAAAAAAAGGTCAAAGTACTATTAGAAATACACTTAGTAGAATTGCTGCAGCAAAAGATAATGCGAAAAGGAAATAAAAAATACAAGATTACTTCTCTGGAAGCCTATATATTTGCCTTGAGCTTTTGCAGATCGATCTGGGGAGAACTTGAGTCAGATTGTTTCAAGGGTCACATGCTTATCAATTGAGTTTATAAATGCCTCACTATGTATAAAAAAATGTAGATGTAGCCTTAGTGTAACCATGCACATCAAGCTGTCATATTGAAAGGCACTAAATCTTAATGTTGGGCAGCTAGAAGGAAAAAGAATAAAAAAAAGTTTTACTATGGAAAATGGAGGGGAAAAGAGCAACAGGAAAAACTCAAACAAATATGTCACTCTTTTCTTTTATTGGACAATTCTTGATCTACCTTCCACCCCTTGTTTACTCACTTAGATTCACTTTCTTACTAAATAAACTATGCTCTGACAATGTTCATTTACCATAAGTAAACTTCTCAGATTTTAGTGTCATGTATGATACGGTAGGTACTATATTTTATTGTTTCAATATAGAAACTGTACTTCAGATTTATTATTATTGAAACTGTTTTACATTTTCATTTCATTAAATGGAGTAAAATATTACTATATCTAATTACTTTGAACATGATCTAAGTTAGTTCTCGTATTACTGGTTAAGTGTCACTGATTCATCAAACATGCTTCCTGGGCACAATGTAAGAGATTCTAGATTGAATGTTTTCCATCCTTATAATTTAAAAGTTATTGTCCTGTCTATTTGGAGCACCTAGGGTGCAGAAAGAAGCCTTTTGATATGTGTCTGGACATAAAACTTGATGAGTGCATAACTCTTTGGGTGTATTTTCCTTCTTTTTTTAAAAATAAAAACCCACTGTTCTGACATTTTTTTGACTATAATTCTTCTTCCTTTCAGCAAGTTATGACTTTACAGCAAGGGCTGTTGTCTCAACTTGGTCGGCAGCAAACAAACCAGTAAGTCTGGACATATCTGTGAAGCTTCCTTGGCCAGAGAATCTCACGCTTCATGGTTTATCTGATATGATGATATGCATCTCCCTGGATTCTCATTATTACTCACCATTATTTTAATACACTCACCAAAGAAAAAGAATTATCATCTTACATATTCTCATATTTCACTTGCCAAAGAGTAGTCTAGACCTTTCTAATTAGGAAGGATAAAAGATAAGCTTGTGAGTGGCTCTAGATCTTTATTCTGATTATTTGTATCAGTGGAGTAATTTTCTGCATTATGTCTATCTTTTCTGACAAAGTATCTTTCCCACTTGCAGAGGACAGGGTCAAGATGCTGGCCGAACAGGTGAAATTTTATTCTCTATTTCTCCCAATTTGATATCCTTATAAGAGTAATACACTCTTAGGTTGTTTTGAATTAGGCTGGGAGGGAAATGGTCTCTTGATTAATAATGTTATCTTGGAGCAAATAAATTTTCTTACACTTATTTCCAAGCATTGCTTAAGACTAGTATTTTGATGCAGAACTGGCTTGCTAGGAATACTACAATATATATATATATATTTTTTATGCTCATTTATTTACCATATGTTTCATGAATATTTTGCCAAAGATTTGTTTAGGCAACTGAGATACCTACTTCTTAGTTTTGTTTTATTGCATAAGGATTCTAATATTTACAAGGATGACAGAGAACTCATTTGGATTTATGCCTGTTAGATCTACAAGAGAGTTTATATTTTTGTTAAGAATATTGTTTGAAATTCTTAGGATGAGAAAAAATGGTTCTTTGAGGATTTAAAAGAAGTGAATTCAAATAAAATATATAAACGTCACAAATGAAATGTACAGAGGAGTGGCATATGACCAGCCATCCTTGTTCATAGTGGTTGGGGAGTCTCTCCAAACTACTAGTTCAGGGGTTCAAGGTTGGTAGACAATTTCAAAAATAGAGTAGCATAAGTGTGAATAATGAGACGAGATACAAATCAGTACCCAAGTAGTTTACTCTAGGGATCCGCATGTACTATTGTAGGCCAATTATGGATAAGCTGAAGAAAGGTTCCATGACGCATGCTATTTGTAGATGATTTTAACATCTTAATTAGTGAAATTAGCGAGTAGGTCAATTAAAAGTGGGAACTGGGAGAAGCACTCTAGTTTTATGATAAGTAAAAATAAGACGAGCTGCTAGTTATAATAATAGCAGTGAGATGAGATCAGATGATATAATGGTGCATAAATGTAGACAATTCAAATATTTAGGATCATATGTGAGTAGAATGATGTGATAGATGAAGACAGCAACAACAACAACAACAACCCAGTGAAAATCCCACAAGAAAATCCCACAAATGGGGTCTGAGGAGGGTAGGATGTACGCAGCCTTACCCCTACCCCGGGAGAGCAGAGAGACAGAGACTGTTTCCGATAGACCCTCGGCTAAAGAAAATGGAAGAAGCGCTGACAGATGTGATAGATGAAGACGCAACACAAATTAAAAGAGGATCGTTACATGGAGGAGTTTTAAGAGAGTTATGATCTATGCGGATGCCTAACAAAGTGAAACACATGTTCTATGCAATGGCTGTGAGATCAACAACCTTACATGGAGGAGTTTTAAGAGAGTTATGATCTATGCGGATGCCTAACAAAGTGAAACACATGTTCTATGCAATGGCTGTGAGATCAACAACCTTATATGGGAATGAGTGTTGGAATTTTAAAGCCATCTGTATCCACAAGATAAATAACACCAAATTTTATAAAAATGCATATGTAAGATATGGATGTGCGGTCATACGAGGTCATATAACATTAAAATTATCACGTCTTACAAAGGATGTAAGTAGCAAACATAGAGGATAAGATGAGGTCATTTTTTCCATCTCCTAAGTAGAACTCCATATGCACTAGTCAGACTGATGTGCTACAACCTGATGATTGAAAGTGCTAAAAGAAGACAATGAAAACCTAAAACTATATGGAAGAAAGGATTAGTAAAAGGACCTGCAAATCTCGAAATTAATATGGATTTAGCCCAAAAGATCATACAATCAAAGCAAAGAATCCGTATATGCGTTGTTAGACTTATATCTGGTCAAGTGTTCGCTAGAAATCTCTTTTTGTTGTTAGAGACTCATCTCTTCGAATAAGGATATGTACGAGATTTAGAAAAACTCTACTTTAAGGGAATCTCTAATGTTTATTTTAAGTAGGGAATATATAATATTCCGTAAAAGATAAATTATTTAGTACTGGAATAAAATGGACCTGAATAGAACAGAATTTAAAACAGACGAGTCACTGATTTGAGATTCGTGATTAGATTGATGGGTGATTTTCAAATCATTTTTTTGACTGTGAAGCTCTGATATTCAGGTTGCCCTGTTGACTGAAAGGGGTAGCAATTTGTTATGCTGATAGAAGCAATATTCAGCTTATTGTTTTGAGTTTGTTGAAATGCTATGTACAATTAAGGTTGGAGAAATACAATGCAATTTTGTGTGCATTATTGGTTAGTTTTACTCATATCAGCTAGGTGATTTTAATAATTGCAGCATTTGACAACATGGGAATGGAAATGCTGATGAACATGTTCGGTGGACTTGGGACGGGGGGATTGGGTGTACCCAACAGATCCAATGGTTATTTTACTCTCTCGCTGTCTGTCTGTCTTTCTCTCTCTCTCTCTCTCTCTGACATGACCTATGCTTATTTTCCTCTTGATGTGTTATTGTAGTGCCCCCAGAGGAATTATACGCCACTCAGTTAGCCCAGTTACAAGAAATGGGTTTTTTTGACACTCAAGAAAATATCCGGGCACTTATTGCCACTGCAGGGAATGTGCACGCTGCGGTAGAGCGACTTCTAGGGAACACTGGACAGTAGTGTATGGATATTCTCTTTTGTATGACTATACAGCTCCTGGTGGGAACAGATGAAATTGTTGATGTGGACAGAAGAAGCATCAAATCTTGGATAGAAATAAATTTGTGGAGTTTGATTTTTTGGAACGAACTCTCATCTCATCCCCCATTGTCTCTTACCTCGGGCCAAAAAGGAAAAAAGTTCTTCAGTTCATTGTACATACAATGTTAAAATCAGCCCCTTAAATTGTTCATTATAATATGATATATCGTACAATTTACTGTAGCATTTCCATTTCGATTTTCTAGTTGGAACATTATGCTGGATGTTATCTGCCTGCTGTATTTGTCTATTTTGGTTTTGTGCTATGGACTAATATGTCAGAGGTGGTTTTTGTACTTCAAGCTTAATGATTGTTACTGCTGGGAATCTTTAATTGTTGTAAGGCAGGTTGTGCAAACCGGCTATGAATTGGGCACTTGGTGCATGTCGAAGGATGTATTGCAAAAGGCAACTTAGGCAATGCGAGATATTCTTATCTTAGGGTGAATGGGTGAATGGGTGCACATAGGAGTAATAACCTGAAGATCAGATTCTAATTGTAGTTATTAGTGCGAGTCATTTGCTTCAGCCATGATATGCAGGATCACTTGACATCTGTGCTTGTAGGCTGTAGCAACTTGCATGTGCACGTACACGCCCAAGTTGGTTCTGACACTATGTTACCATCCCAAAAAAGAATAAAATTGGAACTCACTTGTTATTTGTAGGCAAATGAGTGTTACATATTTGGCAAATGCCAAATTTAGCAACTGATAGCGATATTAATAGTGTGAACTGTGAACAATGAGGGATAAGCTCAAGTGTACCCTGATTCTTTTACTCAAATCTGATACAATATATGGTTTACAAACCGAACCGGAAAGTTGCACCAAATCGAAAAGTCAAACCAAATCGATTAAAAAACCCGACTAGATTTGGTATTGAGTAAAAAGAACCAGAACCAAACCGACATATAAATATATAATTTTTATATCTACTTTTAAGATTTTATATAGAATTTTCTTTAAAAAATGTCTAGAAATATTTGGGATTCTCTTACGGGATATAGTATTAAATAGAATATGAAGTGTTCCATTTATTAACCTTAAATAATGGGTTGTATGATCACTTTCTTATCAAGTGTTACTGAAATGCGTCAATCTCTTTGTTTTTCCATATTAATATGTCAAGATCTATTAAATTCTTATATCTTTTTCGAATTTGAAGTGGTTATTATTATTTAGGTATCATCTTGATTTTTATATTTAGTTATTAAATTCGATTAACCTTGAAAGTGTACATCAACGAAAATTATTGTTAGACGACTAAAAAATTAACTATCATGTGTTACTAAGAAAATTCTCCCATAAAAATATTTTAATAGATAATATATTTGTCAAGTTTTTAAATTTTTACTAAACATATATTTACTTATAAAAAATTTAACAAAATAAAATTGAAATAATATTTAAGTAACAAAAAACCCGAAAACCCGACAAAACCGAACCAATCTAAACCGATATAGCTATTTTGGTTTGGTTTTTACCAAACCAACCCGGTCCATGTACACCCCTACAATATAGTATTGAAAGTTGTACGATGTAATTTACTCATGGAGTGCTAAAATTAACAATTAATGAAGTGCTAAACTCGTGGGAATTGCAGGCTGAAAGCATGCATTTGAATCCCAGTTTATTTATTTTTGTTAAGTAAAGAATTTTATTTACCAAGTAATAAAGTGTACAGTACAAAAGTAAGAACAAAATCAGGCAGTCAAGCAACAAGCCTTAGACTCCCTAACCCAACTATCTCTACTAAACTCACTTCTCAATTCTCATAAATACAAATGGGTCAGAACTATATAATCAAGTAACTCAATCAGGATACAAGTATAGCTGCTCCAGTTCCTTCTTAGCCTTGCTTCATGGATCCTCTATAGTAAACTTCTTGTACAATCTGCCTAACAATATCATTTGAATCCCAATTTGAAAGAACAAAAGCAGAATTTTCAATTAGTTGAAGGTTTAGCATATTTAATAGAATACTACAGGTTCAAAGTCAAAGTACCAAATAGCAAAGAGTTTAGATACATATATACATAGAAATCTTGTATATTTATTTACTTAAATAATATTATGTTTTCTTCCATTAATGTTTCATAAGCTTGTTTCCGCTCAAGTCACTAAAAAATAACTCCATCAACTTCTGTACTACCAATCCGCCAAAGAAGTAGTTTCAGAATTTCAGCTTTTCGTCTATTCGTGACATACACATAAAATTTCGTAAACCAGATCGACATAATTATGTTATAATTCGCCTTGTAATTATATTTTGGTCTAGGTTGTAGTGATTTTACGGATTTACTTCCTGTCATAAATTGATGTGTCTGTGAGAGAAAACAAATATTAATATCACAACCGTATGTGTAAATATAAAATAAGAATTTGCGAAGCAATGTAAATGACACTCATTGCTAATTAGGTGTTGCCGCTAGGGTATACATGAATCAGGTTGGTTTGGTTTTTATCAAAATCAAACCAAACCAACTATATCAGTTTGGATTAGTTCGATTTTGTTGGATTTTTCGAATTTTTTTGTTACATGAATATTATCTCAATCTTACTTTGTTAAAGTTATAGATAAAATTTTGATAAGTGAATATATATTCCGTAAAAATTAAAAAAATTGAGTAAAATATGTATTAAAATATTCTTATGGGAGAATCTTTTTAGTAACACTATTTTCTTAATCGTCTAACAATAATTTTTCGTTGATGTACGCTTTCAAGATTAACCGAATTTAATAATTAAACATAAAAATCATATGATACCTAAATAATGATATTGTTATATTTAATTTTAAATTATCGAAATATCATTTCAAATTTGAAAAAGATTAAGTCTTGGCACATGAATATAGAAGAACAAAGAGCTGATTGACGCATTTCAATAACACTTGATAAAAAAGTGATGATACAACAACAACAACCCAATATAATCTCACTAATGGGGTCTGGGGAGGGTAGTGTGTACGCAAACCTTACCCCTATCTTGGGGTAGAGAGGCTGTTTCCGATAAACCATCGGCTCCCTCCCTCCAAGAACTCCCCACCTTGTTCTTGGGGTGACTCGAACTCACAACCTCTTGGTTGGAGGTGGAGGGTGCTCACCAAGCAATTCACTCTTGTCATACAACCTATTATTTAAAATAAATAAAAATGAATGCACTTCGTAATTCTATTAATTATTACATCCCATGAGAGAATCTCAAATATTCTAGACATATTTTAAAGAAAATTTTATATAAAGTCTTAAAAATATATATATAAATTATATATTTATATATCGGATTGTTTCGAATTTTTTATACCAAACCAAATCAAACTAAGCCTAATTGATTTTTTTAATATATTTGGTTTGACTTTTCTAGATCGGTTTGAAAACCCCTACTCCGCAACTATCTTTTATGAAAAAGGATTAAATTAGCTATATTTTTCTTTAATGAAATCGATCGTCTTAAAAGTTATATTTTAGTGGACGCTTTTTTTCTGCTTGATCACAGCAAACAACAAAATTAGGAAGACACCACCCCCCCCCCCCCAAA